TGTCAATCAGGCCGGCTTTGGGGGCTGGCTGCCGCAATAACTCTCGCCGCTCCGCACCCCGCTCCTCCCTCCCCCCGCCGCCTCCTCGGCCCCGGCAGTATAGTTACCCTATACCTGCCACTCAGCCGCGGCAAAAGGACTTTTGTGTAGTGGTATTTGTGTGCAGCCACAAAGAGTAAAGGCAGCTGAACCAGATAAGGCTGAGAACCTGAAACAGATGTAAAAGAGATCAGACCTAGTTTTCTGTGGATCTTCAACTCCTGTAAAGATTTATGACCCCTTTTAACCCCATTTGAAATAGGTTAAACTGGGTTTGTTTTATACGGACAAAATGAGACTGGCACTTGTATAGAAATTTACCCAGAAGAATAGATCGGCCCCTGAATTTTGCTCCGTTCCTTATCACTAAGCCAAGCCATTCAGCCGCTGTATTGCCTGTCGTTTGAACACTTTGCTGTGATCTCATTATAACTCACATCCTCCAAAATATCGCAAAGCTGCCGGTTGACCTTTAGCCTCTGAAGAGTCCTAATTTTGGATTGGCAACTTAAAGCTCCACAAGTAAGGCAAAGCAGCCAGACAATAGCCGCGACTGAGGACAGGGAGCGCGGCACAACAATAAGCCGTCCTTGGAATTGCTCGGCCCTAATTGTCATACGAGACACAATCATGGGAGACTAGGTTGGGATCGTTTTCTTTTGGCAGACCGCTTTGAACTCTGCTTTTCACTTCCTGCTTCACTGTTAATTATAAGTTTCTGCTTCTCCCCAATGACAGACGAGTGCTTCGGGGTGAGAAAAACCAAGGGGACAATTTCTACTCAGTCAACAGCGTTGAACCTCCGTTGACGTGGACGCAAGTTACTCCAGATTTACATCAGAAAGCTTGAATTAAGAGGACTTAGTAGTCTGGCCAGTGGTTTGTACAAAAGGCACAAACTGGTCTTCCTTGTAGAAGGTTTAGCAAAACACAGCTTTTAGTAGCACAGCGCTACTGCTCGCATCCTCCAGCAGGCACCAATAGCACCAATTTCTAGAGCATCCCGGGGTTTCTTTCTTGAGGGCTACACCAACAGCAAAGCCCGTCGGTTGCTGAATGTCACATCCTCGCAGCTGGGGCCCAAGCGAAGTTTCGGCAGGGGAGTGGTGCTCTCTGGACTGCCTTTTGGCAGTCACTAGCCAGCATCCTTGGGCTGAGCTTTCTGCGGGAGCCCTCGAATGCTTGCACTACCCAGCAGAAGTGACTCCATGGACCTGTAGCCTCCTTACAGCTGCAGTAGGCTGCACATGCCTGTGAAATGACTAAATGATTTTTTTAAACAATGATGTTCAGAGTTTCATTGACATCAGGAAGAGGGCTTTTTAAAAACAATTTTGTAAAAGTGCTTTTCTCACTGGTCTCCTAAAATGAAGGCTGAAAATGAAGCAGATCTAAAAACATTTTCATGAGAAGAACCATGTCAATTATTTTCCTTCCATGGACATTACTGACTCAGTACAGTTTTTTGGTGTGCCGAGCTTTTGAAGCCAGAAGTAAAAGGGGAAACATTGTATTTTATTTCTGTCACACAGGCTTGTCCCAAATCCCCTAGTTTTCTCTGGTTGCAAGCTGCTGGATACAGCGGTAAAAGAGGGAAGTCCCCTAACAGTGGAACAAAGAGTGTTTGACTTGTGGCTGCGTCTCCACACTCCCATACACACCCCTGTGCCCTAAAGACACTAACAGCAGCGTCAGGGCTGCTCAGAGGAAAATAGGAGATGTGATCATCCAGGCTGGAAGGGAGAGAGAGAGAAAAAAAGGCATATAGTTAGAGGTTCCGTCTCAAATCAGTATTAACAGGGCAAGGTCTACTTCTTCTGGAGAAGAAAGGAAAACCACACAGACAAGAAGTATCATAAACTAGAAATGGAAGTTTCCAGTTCCTCCTGCTCCTGGGATAGGTATTCGCAGCTGAGCTCTTCCGCCCAGCACCTTACTCACACCCTTGTCAATGACTGCAGATGCCAGTATTTTTCCCCAAATTTTTCACATACAGAAGAGGTTTCAGCCTGCACCGAGGGGGCAGAAAACCACGTGTTTGTCACAGCTGCTGGTGCTGCTGGTCTGTGTCCATCAGCAAACATCCTGGCCAGGGGCAGAGGAGGCTTCACAGTCAGGCAGCTGCTCCCCAACGGGGCATGGACCTCGCTGGGAGGTCCCACGTCTGGCAGGCAGTGCAGAGCTGGAGCGGCATCCCAGCTGCGTCCTGTCCCTGTGGGCCTCGGGAGGTTGCAGTCCCTCTGGTAGTGTGCAGACAATGTCCTAAGGGCTACAAGCAGGAGGGCTCGAGGAGAACTTCTTGCTTCTTCAGCGGGAGCCTAGATAGAGAGATAGCCTAACTCCTTACTCCCGACGTCTCTGCCGCAGCCTGCAAATTAACACCATCATCCTAAATCCACAAACTAAGCAGAGAGAGTCGTTTTTATTTAAAGGCAACATAAAAGGCCTATAAAAAAGGTTAAAAGGCCCATATAATTATCTTATTTTATTTTATTTTAAGTCCCGTGGTATTAATTAAAAAAACATTACCCAACTTGAAAATTTGATTCCTTCTGCCTGATATGGGGAAGGAAAGGAATCTCTCTTGAGAAAGGTCTCCAGAGTCCTTAATCACCATTTAGGGGCCCTGCTCTTTGAAGGGCCATAGAGGAACAAAGTGGTTTGAGGATTAGCGAATGGCTTTTATTTCTTCCCTAATGATGAGAAAAGTGCAACGAATGCCTAGGGCAGATGATAAATTGAGTCAGAAAACGTTGCATGAGTGCCCTTTGCTAAGCTAGAGGATCAGTGTCAACAATATAAAAAAATGCTTCTGTTTGCTCATAAGGAATAATGTTTGAATCATTAAACAGTAGAGACCGTATTGGCCATATTTGACTGCGTTGTACCTGCAGCCCCTTTGCAAACATCCCCTTTGAAGTGACATCAAAGGGTCTGTGCACATAAGTAGAGGCTGCAGCATACATCCCTTCATTGGTTATCCACAGGACTGCGGAGCAGAGCACAACAGAACTGAGCTGCCTGTGCCCACAACCTCGTTCAGGAATGGCACTGAAAAGGAAGGCCATCCAAAAGCCCCTAATAGGAAAGAAGAAAATACACTGGGCTCCTTTTAACGTTGTCTCTAA